GGAGTTAAGGTTTTATTTTCTGGGAACTTGACCTTTAAACCATCTCTCCCCACCCCACCCCACTGAAGAGACTGGTGTAATCAAGGCTGCTGGTGGTCAGGTCTCTGATATCGTTGAGAATCCTGTGTTCCCTTGATTAGCAACTGTTTGATCAGGGACCTGCTGACTTTGTCCCATTGTATGATTGCTAGCTTTCCACTGAAAATAGTACACAAGATGCTGTACTTCTTAATACATAGCTTATACATCCCTCCTAAGCCATCCGTTTTGTCTTCTTTATCTCTGATCCCCTGGTCCTTCCTGGACCCTGTTTGAAGAACAACCTGCTGATTTAGATAAAAAGTCAACACCCGACAATAAGACGATAGGAACAAGGCCTGGAGAGTAGCTCAGTGGTGGTGGTGCATGCCTTTGATCCCAACATTAAAGGAGAAGGGGTAGGATGATCTGTGAGTTCAAGGCCAGTTGGATCTTCATAGTGACCAGAACCTCCGAAAATAAAAAATAAAAATGTCTCAAAAAAAAAAAAAAACAAAATAAAAAATTTTAAATGAATAAAAGATTAAGGCTATGATTAAGCTTTGCCTGCTGTTGTTCAGCACACTGCTTCTCTCTAGAGTTCTATTTTTTATTTGTCGGTTATAAAAAGAAACTGGCTTCTTTTTAGCTATCCATGACTCATAACTATTCAGTAAATTATACTTTGTTAAACTAAATTGAAATACTTATCTTTTTGCACTGTCTAATCCCTCCAAATATCAAACTTACCAAGTACATCCTTTCATGGTAACACTTATTTGCAGAGCTGCAATTAGACTCTGTTCACCCCACCCCCACCCCAGAAGCACAAAATTGGAAACTTCAGATAGTAGCTGTTAACTGGAATGTCCACATTGGAGACCAATTACTCAGAATCAGGTAGCCCCAGAGAGCTTCCAGGAACTAAGTTTGAGTTTATTGAGCCAATGTTTACAAAGACCTCTTGAAAAACCTTGCTGGCTAGGTATGGTAGCATCTGTCACCCTACCATTCTAGAGGCAGAGGCAGGAGGATTGCTGCAAGTTCACAAACCTGGTCTACACAGCAAGCACTAAATTAGCAAGGTACATGGAGAGACCCTGTCTCAGAACAAAACAACTACTCCAAGTTGTGCCTTGAAACAAACAAACCAAACTACAGGGTATGGTGGTATATTAGGAGACAGGTGGATCCTGAGTTTTAGGCCATCTTGGACTACAGAGTGAGTTCTAGGACAGCCAGGGTTATACAGAAAAATCCTGTCTTTAAAAGCCAACAACAACAAATAAATAAACGAAAAGAAAAGCATCTGATCTTATTAGAATTGGCCTGTTTATTCACACCAGTTCAAGTTTTATAACTGTTGGCTTCAGAGGGCCGTAATTCTAAAAGGCCTCTGAAGGATCAGAAGCATCCAAGAATCTGCTGTCAGACCTCCACACGGTGTATATAAATGTGGGTGTACATCGCTCTTATAGAGGTTATCAAAGTACCCTGAGGTTCCTGGGCCTGCCTTAAACGCACAAAGATCTGACTGCTTCTGCTTTCCGAATGCTGAAATTAAAAGTCTGCCCAACTGCAATTCTTTTTAATTTTTATTTATTTATTTAGATTTGTTTTGGCTTTGACACAGGGTTTCTCTATGTAGCCCTGGCTGTTCTGGAAGTCTCTCTATAGACCAGGCTGGCCTTAGGAGATCCACCTACCTCTGTCTCCCGAGTGCTAGGACCATAGGCGTGTGCCAACACCACCAGAATTAGAATTCTTTTTTAAACAAGAATAATCTTGGGCTGCAGTATAGCTAGCTCAGTGGTATAGAGAGGGTTAGCATACACCAAAGCCCAGGGTGCAATCCCTGCACTGCAAAAAGTCAAAATGCTACTCTACTGTTGATCAACATGGGAGGTGATTTTATGTATTTATGTGTCTGTGTGAATGTCATTGTTGGATCTCCTGCTGCTGGAGTTACAGGTGGTGATACGTCATCTGATGTGGGTTCCAGAAAACAGGCCCAGGTCCTCTAGAAGAGCAGTATTTGCTCTTAACCTCTGATCCATCTCTCTAGCACCTAATTTTCTTTCTTTCTTTCTTTCTTTCTTTCTTTCTTTCTTTCTTTCTTTCTGGAAACAGGGTTGGCTGAAAGTCAACAGAGAAGCACAGCACACCTTGGCAGCTTATCAGAGTCTTAATTTCCTTTTGTTCAACTCCTATTACGACAGGTCTCATGGACCCCAGGTTAGGCTTGCCACACAGCCAAGATTGGCCTTGAATTCCTGATCCTTCTGCCTCTACCTCCCAGATGCTATAAGTTCAGACATGGCAACTGCACCCCTCATACCCAGATTTCAGATTCTGATCTTGTTCACTGGCTTTGAGGATTTTGGCTAGGGAGGGAATAGAGTTTTATGTAGCCCAGATTAGCCTCAAACTTGCTATGGAGATGTAGGTGACATTGAATTTCTGACCCTCCTGTTTTACTTTTGGGGTGCTGGAAATATAGACATATCCCAATATGCTTAGTTTTATGAAGTGCTAGGGATTGAACCCAGGGCCTTGTGTGTGCCAGGTGAGCAGTATACCGACTGAGCTACACTCCCCACACTTCGTTCTTCACTTCTAAAGTAAAAAAATCTTAAGCCCTTTATCTTGGGGTCTAATTCATGTTGGCTGAAAGTCGAGAAACTTTAATACAACTGATAAAGCCAAACTTGCTTACAGAAATAGTAGTGTTTTCCTGAAGGTATGGCAAAAGATGTTAAAACAACTAGGGTTGGAAGATCACTCAGTCCCAATTCCTAAACCCACTTAAGGCCAAGCATGGTAATAGTCTGTAATCCCAGTGCTGAGAGATGAGCAGCGGAGAAAGAAGACTCCCCAGAGGCTTGCGGGCCAGCTGCTACAGCCTAAGCAGCAGTAAACAAGACCAAAGACCCTGCCTCACACAAAATGGAAAGTGAGAAGGGCACCACCTTCCCTCTGAACTCCCCATGATCATCGTGGCAGGTATTTGCCCATACTCACACACACCAACATGTACAGAGCCAGGCAAGGTAGCTCACAGATATCAGAAAAATCCTGCCTCAAAAAGCAAAAACACGAAAAAACAAAACAAAAAAATTACATCATAAGACCAACTTACAGCTTCATTTGCAAAAAGAAAATTGTGCCCTCTTTTTTTTTTTTCTTCCCCAAAGACAGGGTCCCATTCTAGAACCCAGACTGGCCTAAAAATCACTATGTAGCACACACTGACATCAAATCCATGATGGCTCTTCTGCTTTTGCCTCCTGAGTGTTGGGACCACAGGTGTTGTGCCAGCGCTCTGCTTAATCATTAAATGTGCTCAGAAATACATCCACACCCTACGTCTGGCCCCAGTATCTGGCTACAACTCTCCGAACTGTTCTCAGATCTTCTCCTTCCTAATTTCTGATCACTTGGAACAAAAGCCTGATAGTGTGGGTCCTCGGTGGGAGCCATGCTTGAAACAGCTGTCTTGTCCCACCAGGATCTGGAAAAGCCCCAAAGGATGAAGCCTGAGAGCAACCTGAAAGAAAATTCAGATTTCAACACACCAAATACCCTGGAGACAACTTTCTGCCTGGAGCAGAGGTTACATGGGCCAGGAAGGACATCCTCTACTGGGTCCATACACAGTTCCAGGAAATGATCATGCCAGAAACCCTTCACCTCCTGCACTCAGAAGACAACCTGGGGAGCCCTTCAGACTGCTCCTCAACTGCATCTAAGGCACTTGGCACCTAGAAATGTGCTCACCACACGCCCACACTCAAACAGTGATTTGCAGCTTACACCAACCTTTATGTGTCTTTTCAAGGATGGTCCTCACAAAACCCTTGCTCCTGCCAGTTAGCAAATACCTTTGTCTTAGTACAACTAGCAAATCTAGTCCTTGTGAGGTGAAAGGTCATGGAAGAAAAAAATGGACTTCTGTTCAGCAGCAAGGATGTCTCCCTCCGGGGAAAAGGGTCCTGTCCTTGAACAAAAAAGGCCAAGCTCCCTTTAAACACTTAAACGTTAACCTCATCTCCGAGAGCTCAAGGCTGCATCTCTAGGTCAACTTTAGACCCCTAGAGTGTCTGCTTGAGAAAATTCAAGATCGTTGAACTCGTTTTCTGCTAGGCCCAGCTTCTGTGGGAGGATGGGAAATAAGTTCCATAAGCCCAGCAGCCAAAACCTGAGGGTCCTGCATAGACCACCCTTCCCTTCCTGGATTTTTTTAAATTGCTCCCTGCACTGACTTCTGCACTCCTTTGTTCCCCTTCAAACCAAACCCACTTGTCAACTCTGCTGTGGGGATGACTCAGCCTGTCCCCTACTTGTCAGCAATTCCTAGGTAAAATCTGCTCCTCCATTAATTATAGTAGTGCTGTTTCTCTGGGACAAGCTTGCCCCCACCCCAAGCCCCTAAAATAGGTTGCATGTGCTTGTAACAGCTGCCACTGTACTGCTAAGGCTTCAATGACCAACAAGAACCCCAAAGTCTCAGGCTGGAAGACTTCCTCCTTCTCTCACATTGCCCCATTGTGAGAGAATCCTGCTCCTGAGCTCTAAACACTGCTTCTCCGCGGGGTAACACATTCTCTTGCAAGGAGAGACCTTTACTAAGCACTCTCAGAGAACACCTGTTGAGAAGATTGCGCAACCACTTCCATCTCCACTGACCAATCCTTGGCCCTGCAACTCTGACCTTAGGGTTCAGACCCCAATCCAAGCACTAAGACCCTCTCATGATGGGCCAGGCCCACCGAAAGATGTATCTCACACCCCAGCACTGGTCGTCAAGCTCTTCTGAGAAGTGTGGAGACCTGCCCCGCTTCAGCGAACCCCAGCTAAGATCAGATCCCTTCACAGGTGTCCACATTCCCCAGCCCGGGCCCGCGCTCCCCTAGGATAGGCCCAGATTCGGGGAACCTTGCCGGGGGACATGTGGGGGGTGGTGAGGAGGGGGGAGGCAATACCCTTCAGCTGGGTCCCAGTGGCGCGGGTGCAGGCTCGGATGCTGGGTCTGAGCTTCCTGCAGTGCAGAAGCGCTTGTAGGAGCACTCGCCTCATCAAGGTCGCGCACAATTCTGGCCCCAAAGCCCGAGGCGGGAACGGCTCAGGCAGCGCTTAGGGCAGCCCGGAGCGTCTGAGGTCCCCGGACCATGGCGGCGATGGCTGTGGCGCTGCGCGGGCCCGGCGCGCGCTTCCGGTCACGGATACAGTGTTTGACACGCGGGACACGGGGCGCGGCGAAGGCAGCGGGAGGTAGGGCGGGGTCGTGGGCGGTGCACGCGGAGACGCTGTCTGTGTGAGCGTCCACACGGGGTCGCGGTGGCGGGGCTCTGCTGAAGTGTATCTGCGTGGCCGCGCTGGCGCATTCGGGGTAGCACAAGACCGGCGTCCTGGGTAGGAGGGGACCGTCTTTCGGGTTGCACCTTCCTCAAGCGGCTACAATGCTGGCGGTCTTGCAGCACAGTCTCCTGGAGTTTGTGTCCCCAGTAATCGTAGCTTTGACTGGGATGATGTCAAAGGCTCTGGTGGTCATCAGGTATCCCTTTGGAACACAAACTCCCTAGTTGCAGGTACTCTTAGTTGTTATTGCAATTTTTTTGGTTTCTGTTTTTGCCCCTGATCCCACCCCCACGTAGCCCAAGCTGGCCTCAGACTGCGTAGTTAGTTGTCACCGATCTTTGCCTTTTGGAGTTACAGTCATGGTTTGTTGTTTTGGTTTTTTTGAGTCATGGTCTGTCTGGAGTGCAGCCCGAACTGACCATGAACTGCTTGCTCGTATTGCCTAGCAAGTAATTTTTTTTACAGTCGCGTGCAGGGAGGAAATGAGAAGACGCTAGAGAGCCCGTGGGACAAAGCCCCACTGTTTGTCAGGCTCTGTGTATATCCTTGGAATGGAGAAGGAACAACTGGTTTGCACCAGGGAGAGTTCGTGATGAAAGCAGGAGGGTGAGCAGCTTCAAAGGCTCCGGGGGAAGCTGGGCACCTCGGCATGGTTCACGCTACCTGAAACAGGCCAGGTTCCTCCAGTTTCCCATGTGCAGTGGTATGATAGGTGTCGTGAGTGGTCTCCACTATGCAGCTGCATGGTGAGCATCCTTAATCCTGTCCTCTGGGTGGGGGTAACAGAACTCAGTTATGCCCACAGGATGTCAGTGTAGAGGGACAGGAGCAAGGACAGAGGCAGTGGCATGGGAGAGTCAATGGCTGGGGGAAGGCAGGCTGGCTGACTGCATGTATAAGTGGCAGAGGTTTTGTGACTCAGTGGCAGAAGCTACTAGCCTGGGAGAGTCCTAGGAAGCAGTCACTACCATGTGAGGTGGGAACCTAGGGCACAGATCTTAGGGATCCAACGTTGCTCTTTCAGCAGATTTGCTATGTCTCAGGTCTCTGTCTCTTTGGAGTCTCCTTGCTGTGCTGTGGGGACATTTACAATGGTTTTTGTGGAGGTCAAAACCAAAAATAGTCAATGTACCTGTGCCATTGGCACCATCACCCTGCATAGTGACAATAAAATATCTGTAAAGGAGGGGCAAAAGACATGACACAGCTCTTGATAGCTCTTCCAGAGGACCCAAGTTCAGTTCTCAGCACCCATATGGTGACACCATTCCGAGGGGAGCAATGCCATCGCCTGGCCTCCGGCCCTGCATGCCCATGGTACATAGACATACATGCAGACAAACACTCATACACATAAAGTAAAAACAAAGGAAATCCGAAAAAAAAAAATGTTTACATCTGTAGACAGGCTCACTGAGCTCACAAGCCTAGGCCCTTCAAGCTGCTCGGAAGCACCCTGTGGCTTTGGGGTTTGTTTTCCTCTGGGCAGAAGGTACTGCTACCTTCAGGATCCCATCTCACACCCTAAGGAATTGAGAGCTTTGCTTGGGTAAAGATCCTGTGGGGCCTAGGGAGGTACCGTTCACCCGGGTGTACACAGGGGAACGTGGTGGCCCACGACAAGCCAGCCCTACCAGTTGCTTGATGGCCAGCAGGCAGGGGAGTCCACTCTTGAGCCCCTTTCAGTTCAGCCTTGCAGTCTGTCCTTTTGGAGCAGGAATCGACCCATGTTTTCCAGCTGGGATAGGGGTGGGGGTGCATCACCCAAACAGAAGTTAGACTAACAAGACTGTTGTCATCTCTGAACAGCTAAAACAGGACTCCCCCCACCCCCAAAGGTGACCCCTCTGGGTTTGGCCAGCCCATCTAAGGGTACACATTAGGAACTTCCTTGCTTTATCAGAGCAGTGTGCCCTTGGTCCTTGTCATGTCTGTTAGATTACTGTTTTCTGCTCCCCCTGTTCCAGACAATACAAAGGAACCAAAAGTGGAAGAACACTTGGTCAGGAGGCAGAAATGAAGCAGGGACAGGTTCTGGAGATGAGACTGTAGGCAGGAGGAGTGGCCTAACCACAGTGAGCAAAGGCCAGGACGTGAGGGTTCCCTCCAGGAATCTCTCATCACCTAGGTGAGCTGTGCGATATCTGCTATCCAGGCTTTGTTCTGTAGAACAGCATCCCCACCTTCAGTAGGCTTCTCACATCCTTCCCTGCAATGACCCCTGTAAATGGTCACTGAGGATTCCTCCAAGTGTTTATCAGAGGAGGCCCTGGGTGTGCACAGGGGAAAGCAGGTGGCCCACGATAACCAGGCCTACCAATTGCTTGATAGCAGTGCAGGCAGAGGGCACAGTGTAGGGCCTCGGAGAGGGATGGCCCAGTAGAAGCCCCACAGGTGTCAGCAATGGAAGGTAAGAGTCCTGCAGGTAAAGATATGGGATCTCCTTCCTCCGGCACCCAAAAGCAAAGCAGGAGACAAATTGGCTCTGCCTGTCAGGCGGGTCTTCCCCAGGGCTGAGTGGCAGCTAGCTTCCCACCACTGCTTATCTCCTTTCTTCTCTAGGATCACATCAAAGCTGTCAAATTATGTGGAACTGTCCAGGCCTTTTTAGGACTTGAACCTGGAGTGGATTCCGCTGTGGGGCTGCAGACAATGGGCCACTTCTGACCTTCCTCTGTTCTTGTAGTGGGGTGCAGGCCAGTGACGTTGAGGCATATGGGAACCCCAGAGTTTTCTCTGCAGCCTCACCTCCACCTCCTTACGGTGGATACAGAGAGATGTGGCCATTTAAAAGTATGACTTTTACATTTGCTTTATGTGTTTAGAGTGTTCATGGGTGTGGGTGCACACGTGCTCCAGGCACACATGTGAACGACTCTGAGACTCTTTTCTGTGTGGGAGGGACTACATGTATGTTCTTGACTGCTGTAATGAAGTCTCAACCTTTACCACTGAAAGGCGTGTAGACTGAATGAAAATGTTTTTGTTCTGTCTGGCTCAGGACGCTGAGTGAAATCTTGGGTTCTGAGACTCCTCTTGGGAGTTAGGGAGTTTCTCTGCAAAGCTGGTCACACACTCTGGCAGCCAGCTTCACCATGCTCTGGTTTCTGACTTGTGCAGACAGAGTGTGTGGTGACCCCTGACGGCCCCAGGATAAGGTTCCCATCCTGATAAACTTTGTACCACACAGGACTGACGGAGCAAGAGCAAGTCAGGGTGTGGGTCTGGCACCTTCTTACCTCCTTTTCTTCCTCAGCAGGGCAGCAGAGCTTTGATCTTTTGGTGATTGGTGGGGGATCCGGTGGCCTAGCTTGTGCCAAGGAAGGTATGTAGCTTGTATTTTGTGTTGCTTCTGGTGTGTTGGGGCTTTGAAGCATTTGGGTCTTCTAGGAGAAGGTGGTACGGTAGGGATGGGTCATCGTGTCTAGGAGCAGAAAGCTCCAGGAACAGATGCCGCCTTTAATCAGGAATTTACATAGATCCTGAATCTGGTCTCTCCTGAAAGTGGCATAGTCCCATCCCAATCTGTTTGTCCTAAATTTATTTTTATTGTTTTTAAACTATATGTGAATTTCTGTGTTAGAATATATGATTGTGAATGCAGGTTCTTGTAGGGTCCAGAAGAGGACACCAGATCCCCTAGAGCTGGAGTTAGCCTAGCTATGAGCCATCTAGCATGAATGCTAGGAACTGAAATCAGGTCCTCTATAAGAGTAGGTCTTCTCTCGTAACCACCAAGCTAGCCCTCTAGCCCCATGTTTTTGTTTTTGTTTTTGAGATGGAGTCTTACTTTAATTGACAGACACTAAACCAGTACATATTTAAAGTGGATAACTTGAGGCTGAATATGAATATCAGTGATACTAGCTATTCAGGAAGCTGAGGCAGTAGGATCACGTCAGTCTAGGACCTTGAGACCAGCCTGGATAACATAGTGAGATCCTGTCTCAAAGTAAATAAATAAAGCAATAAAAATCAACCGAGAAGTCTGATGGGCGGGTATATCTGTGAACCCTGTACCACAGTGAGAACAATAAGTGTGTTCCTGATGCCACTCATCAGTCTGTGTGGGCTGCATGACTACAGCCTTGTATTGACTGAGGTTCTCTTTTTTGTTGTTGTTTGTTTTTTTGAGATAGGGTTTTTCCGTGTAGCCCTGGCTGTCCTGAACTTGCTCCTTAGCCCAGGCTGGCCTCGAACTCAGAGATCCACCTACCTCTGCCTTCTCAGTGCTAGGATTAAAGGCATGTGCCACCACTGCCCGGCTTTGACTGAGGTTCTGGATGCTGGCAGTCTAAGATCAAAGTGTCAGCAGGATTGGCTCCTGGCTTCTTTCCTTGGCTTATAGGTGGTGTCTCTCATGTTTTCATGAGGACTTCTGTGTATGTGTATCCTAATATGTTCTTACATCAGTCAGTCGGCCAAGGGACTAACCTGTAACCTCTTTTAACTTTATCTCCAAATATAGTCATAGTCCTTGGTGCTAAGGGTTAAAACTCTAGCATGGATTTGGTTGTGTGGGGGTGGAGGCACAGTTCAGGCTGTTACAATGTCCAGCTTCTACAGACCTTGGTAATTCTCTTCCTGCCTTTCCTCTCTCTACATCCTGGAACTCTCTCTGTAGACCAAGCTGGCCTCAAACTCACAGGGATCTGCTTGCCTCTGTCTCCTGAGTGCTGGGATTAAAGGTGTGCACCACCACCCAACCCTTCTTTGTCTCTTCCTTTCTTCCTTCCTTTCTCTCTTCCTTTCTTCCTTCCTTCCTTTCTCTCTTTCTTTCTTTCTTTCTTTCTTTCTTTCTTTCTTTTTTTCTTTCTTTCTC